ATTCTGTATAATGAGATATCCTCTATTTTAATTTAACTGTAATTATTTCATTTTATGTATCTTTTATTGTGGATGTTTTATGCATACATGACTGAGAATACAGAGTATTCTGAGTAAATGAGTATGATAGATAGATGACAGACAGACAGACAGACAGACGGCTATGGAATTTAAGATGATTTCAGCCACAGCTGCCCTTGAACTATACATCCCCCTTATGGCCTTTCAGATCCAAAGGAACACTAAATGGCAAACCCATAATTCCTGCCATTTTTGGCTTTTTTTTTACAGCCATATTAAAAAGTGAATTTTATATTTATATATCAGAGTGTTTCTTCTATTGTAGCATTTGCTGAACCAAAGTGTGCGTCTGAAGCAAAGAAACTATTGTAAGCATGTCTATGAAGGAGATACATTAAGAAGAGGACTGCTGCATAAAGGTTATCTGTTGAAATTGGTTCCTGACACAATACATGTAATTAAAACTTGGGGATCAGACTGTGTAAGAAAGAGACAGGCAACTGATGACTGGACCAGAATGCCCAGGTTTTTACTGCTAGTTTGCTCCTTGGAGGAATCGTCCTGATCCTAACTTTCAAAGACTTGACTTGCACTTGTCATCAGAATGTCTGCATGAGTTCAAAGGCTATTAGTCATGAGGGTTATATTATATTACTTCAACTCATGGAGGTGTTGGCATCTTAATACCAGATGCTGAAGGACTCAGTAGGAATGTACTTTTGTCTTGTTGTCCTGCCTAAGAATTTCTGACTAATATTTGGCTGAAAGATCTTTAGTCAATAGTCAACAGTGAATCAACACTTATTCTACATTCACCAGCCTAGAGTAATTAAGCTCTCATTCTGACTTCCACACATATGGATTAAGTACACAGAGCTTATGCTTTTAGAACCTCAATTTGTGTGCAATTAACATCACTCTATGAGATCCTGCAAAAAAAATGGGAGTGGGACAAGGATCAGATGTTATATAGACAATTGACACTGATACTTTTTTAAAATACAGATTCATATTTTGAGAACACATATATGCACAGGAGCTAAGACCAGACCAGAGTACAATCACACCTCATTTATCTTCTTAAATAGCATGGACTAAAAATATGTCACCTGTTCTGGGTTTCTTCTTCTGGCTAATTTAAATGAAGAAAGATCTGTGTGTTACACAGTAAAGTCCTATGTGGATTCTCTGCAAAAAGCAGTACAAGCTGTTCTAATCAGACAGTTAATCAGACAGTAATTCTTAGGATAACAACAGCTCCTTGTAGTCCCAGCTGAGACCAGTTCCTCAATCTGCTACATTCTGTGCAAACATGAACGGACAATTTCAGCCCTCAAATAAACCTACAGTGTTTGGACTATTCTTTGCTTATGTCATCAACAAGATCATTTACCTTACTATTTGGTGAACTTTACTTGGCATATTGCATTTTTAAAATCTTTTCCTTCTACTTGGCCAATTGTTGATTTAAGTTCAAAACAAAGCAATAATTATTTGGAAAAAAGGAAGGTTCATTTGGAAAAAGCAAAGCCTTAGAGGCAAAAGTGATCCAACCACAGATGCTTATTTAATTTTTTTTTTTTTAAATGACCTCTATCCTATTATTAAATAAAATGGTACTGTCCAAGTATCCAGTGTCTAGATCGGATCTGTTTTTTGGGATAATGCTCAGAGAAACTGTATTAAGGATTGTGAGTTATAATCACAAAGATAGTTATACTTGCTGTGATTCATTTTTTGAGGTGAATGACAGCTGATGTTGGGGTTAAGGAAGGGACAATTTGCCCATTAGCAGAAAATTAAAAGACTTTAACTCATTTCTTTTATAGGACAGAGCTTTTTAGGCAAACAGAGAGATTAATATGGGATTGCAAGAGTTGCAATTACAGTTCCCAGCTCTCCTCTATATTGGCATATTAATTGTAACTGTTGGAGTTGTCCTTAGAATGAAGCAATGGAAAAATATAGACCATAAGCCCTGCTGGGTCTCTTGTAATATTGTTTGAGTAAGAAGAGAGTTTGTTCTTTTGTTTGGAACAGCCTCTCTTAAAGAGGGAGCAAATTCAGGGGAAAAGCGTTGGTGTATATGGGTGTGGGTGTGTGTACATGAAAAGGCACATTTTAAAATAGCTTTAGAAGGCTTACTGCTTCATTGTATTTTGAGAAACTGATTTCTGTTTGTTGTTAGTTGAAAGGTCTTTGAAAGACATTAGGCCTATTTAAGCAAACATCCTACTAACTGGTATAGAACTCACTTGTCAGAAATACAATTAACTCTCTCAATGCCCATATCCTCGTTTTTCTCTATGGCCAAAAGAAGGAGCAATCACAAACCTCCATGATAACATATTTTATGCCTACCTTTTTGCAAGGGTTATTCAGTTTTGTTCTATTGAAGACAGCTATTCTAGTTTTCTTGTCTTAGGCTGAGTTCTGATCCAATTAAAATTGTTTCTCTGAATTGATTCAGATTGTTGAATCAAATTAAACTGGATCAGGGTTGATTTACTCAACTTTTACTATTCACATCAGCGCATGAACATACGATTTAAGCAAACATAAGCTAATCAGCATCTAAATAAAACTCTCTTTTTATGACCCTCCAATCCCTATTTGGGGGTAGAGTGAGGATGACTGGATGGAACTGAGAATTTACTAGCCAGATGCCTTTCCTAACAACCTATGCAGCAGATATGTTTTCTTTGTGCCCTAGGAGAGAAACATCTGCCACTACCTAAGATTGAACTCTCAGCCTTCCGAGTGGGAGGCAAGCATCTTCATCACAAAGCCACCATGCCCCTTTAATCAACACCTAGATAGTTTTGCCTAATTCATTATTAAGAAAAAGGTATATTTAGGACAAGCAAAAATGAAACAGTCTTTTCCCCTATTATGATGGGAGCAAGAGCCCTGAATAACTGTTTTCAGTAACAAGGAACACCTTTGATTAATGTTTCTAGTTTCTTTGAAGTAAACAAGCAAGAATGTGAAATTCTGATAAAACCCTGCCCAAACAGGCTGGAGACAAAAATTGTACAAAAAGTTGAACTGTAATAACCTGAAAACTCATTATAATGTCCAAAACACATCTTCTGAATATTAATTTGGTCATTAACAAGATTGTGCTAAGAATACTATGAGATGATATGAACTAGTAGATATGAGGCTAATGAGCATGCTTGGTGACTCAAATTATGCTAGCCAATGAGAGAATACCTGTTTGAGCTGTTTACAAGAGATTTTTTTTAACTTTTTAAGGATCATCTCACCTTGTATTTGTAAGAGACTTAAGTTTTATTTATGCATAAGTTAAAAGATGTTAATCTATTTTTCCAGGATGATCCTATTTTGGCAAAGGGCACTCTGGGCTAAGAACCTTTTACTGCTTAAATTACAGAAATTTGGGATTCTGATATGAAATTTCCAGGGTTATATAATGGGTAGATGATTTCCAGTCAGGAAATCTTTCAACTCAGTGGTGCTATTTCCAATCTTCTACAAATCCCTTTGTGGAAACATCTGGTTTAATTTGAAAATCAACTTATAAAAGTATGTATCTTGATTGAAGATAATTTTCTTGCATTTATCCCATATCTTGCCTGAAGAAGAGTTCTAGATAACATAAAAGTTTGCCAATTCTTAGGCATTTTGGTTGCTCATGATACTTAGGTTCAAGTATTACATAAGTCTTAGTAAAACAAATGATTCAATTATTGTATTTGAATTTCTCCCTGGAACAATATGCTTATTATAGGAAGGAGAGTTTGCTAGGGAAGAGGAAGTCTTCAACCATTTCTCTCCTGCAAACTGGCCTGAATTCAAAGTAGGAAGACAGTCCAAAGTTTAGAATCACACAAAGATTTTATGGAACCAGCATTTTCAAGGACAATCCAATGAAACATTAACACAGACATCAACACAGAAACCTATTAAATGCAACAAAGATGCTGATGGTAAAAGCGTAATGAACCTTTCCTTTCTTCAGGGAAGAAACAGATAGCTAAAATCGTCAAAAAGTCAAAGCTCCTAGAACGTGTTTAATTAAGATGGCAAATGTTTCCCTTTATGAAAAGAGGCTACAATTTAGAAATGAATTTGCATGTGCTTTTCTCTATTGCAAACAAATTTCTATACTGTATTGTGATAAAAAATATTGTGATAAAAATGCATTTTTCGTGTTTTTAATAATTATTTTAAAAGGAAATAAGTTATGAGAATAAGAAACTGAGTTCTGGCTTCATTTTTGGATTAATGAATCTCTCAGTTTCTGAGTTACTTACTATCTTTCGAAATCAAATTCCATCAGTATCAAAGGATGCCATACGCGGTATGTTTAATTCACAGTGGGCTTCCTACTGGCTTTACATATCTGAGCTCCACATTATCACTTATTATTTTATTAAAGCGATCTATAGATTACCTCTCAAAAAAGAGAAGGCAGTTTATAAAATAAAATGGTATTTGTAAACTTAGCCACTGTAACATGTAACTGCTGAAATAAATAAACAATTAAAATATGAGTATAGATGAAAAACACCAATAATTATTGCTAACTACATTTGGGGGAGGACATTCCAAACCAAGTAAGCATTTTTTGCAAGTCTTTTGTGAATTCTTGCTTTTTAGCTGCCTAAAAAAAAAAAATCAATTGAGCTCTTTTATGCAGCTAAAGTGCACCCTTTCCTTTATTTTATGCAAAACAAAAAAAAGTACCTGGAGATTTCTAAGGAGGAAGCTATGCTTAATAGCAACTTCTTGTTCCCTAAGAGCTGTTCCAATCTCACCTTTAACTGTTTGGGGGAAAAAATTGTCTGATTCAAAGAGGAATTGCTGCCTTTTACAAATCTCAGAGTACGCAGGATTAAGAATTGCCATTTTTGCCTGTAGTAGGGAGAGAGAGAAAGGGAGAGAGATGGCCTGAAATCTATTTGTGGACTTTTTCCCACCAACCTGCCCCTGTGAAAAAACACTGTACCTACCGTGGTCCTTTTGCAATGCTATGAAAATGAGGTTACCAAAGTTGGTGCCTTTGCCCAAAGATGGAGTCAGCCATTTCTGCAGTTGTATGCTCGTTGTTTCTCCTTCCCTGCAAGGAAAAAAAAGAAGGGAACATTTCTTCCTGCCACTCTCCCCATATTTTCCAAGTATGGATCCCACCAGGAATACCTGCCCTTACCTCTACATTTTCTGTTGGGGTGGCAAGGTACGATTCTTCCCCTTCTGTGCTGTCTCCCTCTCCCCCCCCCCAAAGTGATTCCTTTGCCACCTCTTGTGTGGCAATCCCTGCCCTTGCTTTGGTCTCCTCTCTATTATAGGAAGAGTAAACACAGGGATTGGCTTTCTGAACTTTATACCCCTATTGACCATTAGGGTCAATAAATGAAATGTAATGATGGCTGACGATTCTGGTTTTGCTTCCTTAAATCGCATAGGAACGCTTCCTTTTCTTATTGTAGTTTCCTTATGTTGATCAAGCCTTGGTTTCTCTTTGCCATGTATCTGGCAATGGACAAAACACCCTGCCAATGCTAAGGTACAGGTAATCCTCATGTAATGATTACAGCTAGAACTGGCAACTCAGTCATTAAGCAAACTTGGAGTTGCCAGTTCCAGTTGTGACTGTGCTTATGATCTTATTTCAGCTTTCCTTTTCTTTAAAGACCCGTGAAGATCAGAAATGCAAGGATTGGTCACAAAGTTATTTTTTCATCACCATCATAACTGCAAAAGGTCACTAAATTAGGCAGTTGCTAAATGAGGACTATCTCTATAGATAAACTGGTAACTTAGGCTTTCCTATCATAATGGCTTTTTTTATAAATAAAGATTATCAATATAGTATTTTCTTTGGTGCAACTTCTGAATCTACTGGATTTTTTTTAAGCATAATTCCAATTTTGTTTTTTCTCTGTCCTTTTTTAAATCACTTTATAAAGCTATCTGTGAATGTTAAATTATGTATCCAGGACGGAGGGAGAATTAAGATTAAAAAGAAATAGAAAGAATTTTTTTTTCTCTAAGAGAATGAATGCTTGTGAGTTTGCAAAGCAGGCAGTTTAAGTAAGACAGAATGGCAACATGTATTCAGCAAGGAGAGCTGACTCAATCAAACTGGTGTACAATAAAAACTACAGAAAATCCTTGGGCTACCTCATGTTCTGGAAGAACAAAGAACAACAGAGATTGAAAAGAAATAAGAAGAGTTCCACAAATAGAAAAGCCATGGCCACATATATCTCTAACTATAGATGATAATGTACTTGTACAAATAGAGGATAAGCAATCTGCAAAAAAAACGAAGAATACAAGAATGATTGCCAATGATTTCAGTGGAACAGTATAATTTCAGAAGTTCCTTTGATACTCCAGTTACGTGGCAGGAAAAAAAAGACTTAAGCATGGAGTCAATTTTTCAGCACACATGAACTTTCTCTTGGAAATTTTAAAGATGTTGGGGACTTCTGGATAAGAATAGCAGACTGCTATTGAGCCACGTGATACCTATTCTGTACTTGTGCATTTGGTTTTTCTTGCCCAAGTGTAAACCTTACTTTTCTCAGCACTGAATTTCATTTTGTTAGATATGGCCCAGTATTCTAGTCTGCTGAGATCCTTCTGGATCTTGAGCCCATCTTCTGGGATGTTGGTTATTCCCATCAGCTTGGTGCTGTCTGCAAATTTGATAAGTTCCCTTATATCCCTCATCTAAATTGTTTATGAAGACATTGAGGAGTACTGGACCTAAGGCAGAACCTTGGGGTACCCCACTGCATACTTCCCTACATGCTGATGTAGTTCTATTGAAGACTACACATTGAATGCAGTTTGTCAGGCAGTTATGAATCCATGTGGGATGCTGTCTATCCCACATTTTTCTATCTTACCAAGAAATGGGTTGTGGTCTACTTTGTCAAATGCCTTACTGAAGTCCCAAGTATACTATGTCCAGAGCACTACATGTCTAGGTCAGTTGCCAAAGAATACTCTGAAAATTGTGGGAACAGAACAGAACAGAACAGAACAGAACAGAATAGAATAGAATAGAATAGTTGGAAGGTCATCTAATCCAATCCCCTGCTCAGGCAGGAAACATTATGCCATTTCAGACAAAGGGTTGTCCAATTTCTTCTTAAAAACTTCCAGTGTTAGAGCATTCACAACTTCTGGAGACAAGTTGTTTCACTGATTAATTGTTCTGTAGAGGAAATTTCTTCTTAGTTCTAGGTGATTTTAATGAGACATTTGCACCAGTAGTCAAGCACATTTTAGTTAGGACACTTCTGAGCTCTGCAACCTCAAGAAGAATGCATGTTTAATTTCTGGCAATAAAGACAAGGGGTTTTTTTTGTATGTAGCCATAAAAAAAGATATATAAATGCAACAGTGTCCAAAATTCAATTACAGATTATATGAAGAAATACAATGACTAACAAAGATTTTCCATTATTATTCTGATTGAAAGAGAGAAATAATGGAAGATTCTTTTGTAACCGAAACAGAAAATCTTGAACAATATGGTTTATAGGATTGTCTGATTCTAATAAGGAGAAATGTAGCACCACATAACGCTGCCCATTAGAAAAGTTTCTTTAAAGACAAGGAAATAAACATAAGATAACAGTCAATGCATGGTAGCAATTGGTAAGTTCCTGGTTATGTAAATGGTGTCAAAGCCAGATTTTGTATCAACAATAGACATACTGAGCAGGAAGATGACTACACCAACAACACAAGATTGGACTGTTGTCAAGAGGATAAGAAGATATTTAAAGGGAACTGCGTGAATGATAAGCTATAAAGATGAAAATTGGGCTGAAGACGGATCCACTGCTCTAATTTTTAAAATGTTATTAGAATTGTTAAGGGCACTCAATCCCCCAAAATTATCAGATTAATTAGAAAGCAGCTTAAATTTGTGAAGAGCTAACCTAGCAACATCACTATGATTGGACTTTGAGACTAATAAACCAAACTTGCATTCTCCTTCCAAATTACAGAACATTACATTGTATGCAAAGCATTCTGATGCCAAATATCACTAAATGTGAGCTATGCAGGAAAATAACCTTGTTAAACTGAAATAACATTTCCTCCTCTCCCTCACCCTCCTCACCCCACTGGAAAGAAATTGTAGCAGATGCACTATAAAAGCCATTGCCAAGAGACCAGTTTCAGAATCTTCATGAAGCAGTGGGAGTTGTAAAGTGGTGCAGAAACCACTGAGAAGGGAAATATTGGAAGATTCAAGATTTAATGCCTAGGCTTTTAGCAACTTAAAAATCTTGAGAAGGTGCGAACTAAAAATTGAGCTCAGTGCCTGTCTAGACCGTCCTTTCAAACCTGATTTGGCCATTTGCAATCTTTCATTCTGGGGCAGGAAATCTTTGACCTTCCATGAATTATTGAGCTCCAGTACTTGGTAAGCAATATGAAACCAGAAGTGTGTGTGTGTGTAGGGCACACACAAAGGCACAACTTTCCGCTCCTATATCAGTCTTTACTTTTTTAAAATCTCCATCTGTTCATATCTCTCTAATCTTACTTAGTGCTTAGCCCTAACTTTTATGTTTGTTATCCATCCTATCATTATTCTTAATAACGCATCCAGGTTGACTCAGCCTTCCATCCTTCTGAAGTTGGTAAAATGAGGACCCAGATTGTTGGGGGCAATATGCTGACTCTGAAAACTGCTTAGAGAGGGCTGTAAAGCACTATGAAGCAGTATATAAGTCTAAGTGCTATTGCTATCTCTCCCACCTGTGGACATTTTTCTTTTAATTTTTCAATACAAGCACTCAGGGCTTTTTTTCTCATAGAACACCCAGAATGGAATTCCGGCACCTTTTTTGGATGGACCCTAATAGGGTAGGCAAGGTGGATTGTATGACATGTGTGAGTTCCAGCACCTTTTTTTTTTTTTTTGAAAAAAAGCACTGCAAGCACTAATCCTGCATTTGTTCTGCCAAAATTGGCTCTTTCCCTCCTGAAGGGAATCAGAGAAGCAAAACACACATGGCCTGTGAAGGTTTGATGAGGCTAGTACCATTCAGAAGTCTTCCCCCTCCTACATATCCACAGTAATCCATGTGCTATAAACAGGAATTAGAAAGGAAAAACAAAGAGGTGATGTTTCAGAACTAGCTCTTAGGTCAAAAACAAATCTGACAACAAAGTGAATAAATAATAATAATAATAATAATAATAATAATAATAATAATAATGGTGGTGATGATGATGATGATGATGATGATGGAAGGGACCTTGGAGGTCTTCTAGTCCAACCCCCTGCTCAGGCAGGAAACCCTATACCATTTCAGACAAATGGTTGTCTAATCTCTTCTTAAAAACTTCCAGTGTTGCTTTTTGTCCTGCCTTCAGGCGCTTTGGAGAATAGCTTGACTCCCTCTTCTTTGTGGCAGCCCCTGAGATATTGGAGCACTGCTATCATGTCCTCCCTCATCCTTCTCTTCATTAAACTAGACATACCCAATTCCAGCAACCGTTCCTTATATGTTTTAGCCTCCAGTCCCTAATCATCTTTGTTGCTCTTCTCTGTACTCTTTCTAGAATCTCAACATCTTTTTTACATCATGGTGACCAAAACTGGATGCAGTATTTCAAGTGTGGCCTTACCAAGATATTGTGATCTTGATTCTATCCCTCTGTTAATGCAGCCTAGCATTGTGTTGGCTTTTTTGGCAGCTGCAGCACACTGCTGGTTCATATTTAAGTGATTGTCCACTAGGACTCCAAGATCCCTCTCACAATTGCTACTATTGAGCAAGGTACCCCCTATACTATACCTGTGCATTTAGTTTTTATTGAAGAATCAGCCATCAGTATGATATTTTTGGATTCCAGTTATTCATAAGGAAAAATTTAACAGAATGAGGTCATGAGGTACAGACAGGTTTATTATTTATTTATTTAAAACATTTATATAGCTGCCTATTTTATAACCAACTCTGGATGGTGCCCTATCAAAAGTTAAAACAGCATAAAAGCCATATTAAAACTACAGTATAAAAGCTAAATACATTAAAAACCAAACCAAACCAAACCAAAAAAATATACCCCTGGTACCAA